AATTTTTCAAGAATATGTATATATATTTGTATCTTAAGGAGCTGCAAACTGAATGGAATTGAGTTCTCTCAGCTGAGGGAGAGCTGATGGCTCCATTACCATCTCACAAGAAACACAGATTAGCAAATAAATAAGGTGGGGGTGAGACTAAGATCAGCTATCAATTTACAGACTGAGAAACAAAATAATAAATAGAGTCATGGGTATATTGCAAGTGAATCAAAATAATCCAATTTAGTTAGATCATAAGTATATGAAGTTGATTATGGTTCATTTACAAATTTTCAGTTTGCACATAAACTGTTTTAGCTTGAACACCAAGTAGAATCTGCATGAGGACAAAAGGTTATTTATGTCAATCCTGCATTTTTAAAACTACTCTTTCTTTCCTTTATTATGAAGGACAATTGTCATCTGAATGGTATGGGATATAAATATGCGGCAACATCAGTATGTTACTTGAACATAATAATGCATTTAATACTAAAATCCTTCAAAAAAGAAGGATCACACATACCTGCTGCAGTTGATCAAGGTATTTTTGAGAGTATTCTACTGCTGCTGGCCGCTCAGTTAGTTCTTTAAATCTATACAATCATAGAAAATTATTTAAGCAGTCACAATTGAGCATATAAAATTTTTGATAGGACAGACTTAAAGATATACCCAAATAAAGTAATGAAACCTAAATCCAAAAAAAGGTCATACCGGAAAAATATTGGATCACCAGCAGTTTTTAATGAATCCAGATGTTCTTGAAACTCCTTAGCTGTTGCATCTTCTCCATCAGTGTATAGCCATTCTTGAACCTTAAATAAGACACGATGCTCATGTCAAAAACTTGAAGACAGACCAAGTTGTGAGCTACAAAAATCACATGGTAAAAGTAGAGCAAACCTCATCAAGCTTTTGGATAAAGGACTGGCGTTCATCAGCAGAAGATATTTTCTCAAAATCTTCAGATTCAAGCTGAAAAAGTAATAAAGCAACCAAGTAAAAAGTTAAAATACTAAAAACATCTTTATTAGAATAATTAACCAAAGAAAACACACATTTAAGTTAACAGGCTCTCTCAGAAAATGAAAAGAAATAAAATAGCATATTCTTGGAAGACCAAACAAGAAGATGACCACTTGACAACCCAGAATAATCAAGAAGAAAAATTAACAATAAAATAATAAACATCAGAAAAGGAAACACCAATCTAGTATGATACAAAAACTAAGACTTTTTTTAGTATGGTAGTGGTTTTTATAAATTTTGAAACTCTAAACAAAACTCATTTAGTTTCATGTGTTTTTGCAACATATTGTTATGATTATTAGAGAAATAACAACAAAAATAGTTTTTATACCATTAAACAAGTTTATATTTTTAATTGTTAGTGTTAAAACTTATCTTAAACAAATTATTAGTTTTTAAATTTTAGTTTTGGTTTTCAGTAGTTGCAAAATTTGTGAAAACCAAACTAAACCAAAAACCACACTAAACTGGGCCTAAATAAATCAAACCAAAAAAGGGAGAGACAAAACCCAATAACTCAAGTAATTCAAAACTTACAATATGACTAACAGGTAATACTCGTGAAATATTTACCTTTTCTTTGGTAGAATATATATAGGCTTCAAGGTTGTTTTTTAACTCAGCAGTCTTTCTCCTTTCAGCATCCTTCTTGTCCAGTGCCTCCAATTTACCTTTAGCTTCAGCAAGAGACTCCTTTGACAGAGACATTCCAGGCCCTATTGTTTTCTCCACTATCTACAAACAAAAGAAGAAAATATATGATGTAAATGATAAAAAGAAAAAAATTGCAACAAAAATGATATGATGCAAAGGATAAAAACATAACAAGCTGCAATTTATAAATGCATTTTAATGCAGATTTTTTGCACCTTCAGTGGCACTCTAAATGTCCGTTTCCTCAGCTTTTTCTCCGTACCAAGATCTACTGTACTTGGTTCTTCAACAGTAGTGTCTGATGTGTTGGTCAGTACACCATCTGAATTCAAGCTTTCTTTGTTTTCTTCTGAGGCCTTTTCAGCATCAACACCAACTTCAACAGATTTGTTAGATGAAGCAGTAGTTGTATTCTCTATAGATAGATTCTTTTTAGGAACTTCTACCCACTCTGATATTTCAATAACAGCCTCTGCTCGATCTAAAGAAATGATTCCACTTCTACTAAGTGAAAAGTGTAGGTTTGTTTTGATAGGTGAGGATAAATTGCGAGATGAATACCTAGACACCATACAGATTGCCAAAGAAAACCATATCATTCATTATTCACATACTAAAAGTGAAGAAAGTAACAAGCATTGAGACTGTTGAAATCCACTGCCTACTTACTTCTCAGATGCCTCTGCCAAACCAGACACAGCATACTGAGCAAACACAGGGGATAAAAGACCGGGCGGTAGGAGATCTTCACTTTCATAGGCAAGTGAAACTCCAAAATCTTTATTATGGATGATAGTCCTGAACATCTGTCAAAAATGAAATTAGACACCACTAATAGCAAAACTAGAAAGTAAATGTATCCACTTACATTATTACCAATCTAACCACATCCATAGCATAGGTTTAGATGACAAGCTTATAGTTATACCTTACTGGGAAGCTTCTTCATCCTTGGAACAAGTAATTGCTTGTTGCTATCATTTTCCGAAAGACCAGGTCCATCCAATTCAATAACAAATCCATATGAAGAACCATCAATCATTCCCAGCTTACGATTTAATTTGATTCCATCACTTAAATTAGCAGCATGAAGGGCCGCACCAAGAACAATTGCTTCATCAGCATCCAGGTGTTTGTCCAGCTCTTTTCTTCCAAGAAATTCCTGAAGCTTAGCCTGTAGCGGAAAAAATAAGTGTACTTTCACAATTGTCTAATGTCAAATAATAGGAGTTTAGATAAAGAACAGGGGGAAGGGGGTGGAATATTCTTAGAATTGATGTGGATCCTTTAATATAATACCCATCGTCCCATATTTTGATCTAGAGTCAAAGAAACTGCACCAGATATGCACTTCTCTTCCTATTACTCCCTCCCTCCCCATGATGTTAACCCCCTAAGCTTCAAAACGACAATTACCACAAGCATCATAGAAAGATTACTTGTCCTAAATCATAACATCTGTAAAAGATCCTATGAAATGTCCTTCACCTTGCCACATGAAACAAACTGATTAATTATTTTTCTTCTTCCTTAGTTTTCACCCACTATTGTTCAAATAACAAAATTGCCCATACCAGAAGTCTGTCCAAAAACCAGTAAAACAAGGAATGAACTAATCTTTCACAACAAAAGCACTGATGGTCTACCACTGGTCAAAGATGTAATCTTATATTCAAACAAGACAATTGAACATAATTCAATAATGAATTCAGCTACAAATTCTATACACAGAATCATGAAAGAAGTCAGAAGCAACTGCATATCTGCATCTTTTTTAGTTTTATTGTTTGTATTTGTGGAACTGTATAGATCCAGCACAGCATAGGATTAAACATGAGGTGATCGTTGTTAAATTTTTTATATAGGATCCTCACACAGAGTACATGTTAAAGAGCTAAGACAATGCAAACCTGCAACTTTGGTACTCTAGTTGCTCCTCCAATCAACTCCACTGCAAATATGTCATCTAATTTTAAGCCAGAGTGCTTGAGCACTTCTTTCACAGGTGTAAGAGATCTCTCCCAAAGATCTGCACAGAGCTCTTCAAACTTCTCGCGGGTAATGGTGCTCCTGGAAAAGAAGCAAGTCCATATAAGCATATTAATTATGCTCAGCTTATTGTTGTATGAAAGAGGGGCATTTGAGAAAAACATATGATATGTGGATCTTCTAACAAGTAACAGGATGAAAAATAAACATTGTTTTCAAATGCCACAGATTAATCCACTTTGACATTCACAAATGGTTGTTAGTTGTGCCCTTGTGGATTCTCAACCTCACCAATCTAAAGTAATCCATTCAAGTAAAT